TAGCCGCTTTACAATCGGTTTAATCCATTAAGAATTATCAATGTAAATATTTCAACTTTTTGAAATTTCATAAAGCTGAAAGAAATAATAACAATTAAAAAAATAATAACAGTAGTTGAAACTAACTTTCATTGATATGAAAAATTAATAAATTAATAAATTTATCTTTAATGGATTAATATCGTCTAACTCAAACTATAAGAATAGGGACATATGAAATGTGTCTATAAAATAATGATACAAATTTTAGTTTCCGAGTATTTCCGCAACATTATATGAACACTAGAACGCTATTTGAACGTACATCTACTTTCAGTAGATTTCAATTTTTCAATTCGATTGAAAATTTCAACTCGGTTCAGTTAACACAAGCGGTTTCGCAATGAATTTTATTAAAATTTCAATGCATTACAAAAATGGAGCAGCGACATATCGAGCATCGTTATACGATTAAATGAATTTTTGATTAAAAAAACGTATTTCTATGATCCCACAATTTCCATACTCCCTTCATACTTTATATTCGAATATATGATTCGAATTTCAGACAACTTCTTTTTCTCAAAAATCAAAAACCATTTCGAGAAACATTATTTTTAAACTGTAAACAACATATAAAAGACTATAACCGATCAACTGAAAGCAATTTTAGAAAAATTGCAACATTGTTTCGAAGAGTGAAAATATCGCCTTTGGCGATAGTTTCTCAAGGAAACTGTTCTCAAGTATACAATATACATTTTTCATAAACGATATAATATTAAATATTACAGCATTACATTTAGACATATGACGTGTATGTATAACATAGAAAATATTTTTGCATGGTATATGAGTTGCAAGCACCTTACGGCGGTCGATTTAAAAATTTAACTCAAACGTTCATTTTAAAAAATACTCAGCTGATCAATTTTTTTTTTTTTTTTTTTTTGAAAGGGATATCGATATTGAATTGGAATATATAAAACATTTTGAAGTAAATAATTCTTAATGGATAAATTATGTGTTCTGTCTTACTTTAAATTGGGTCGGGGCCATAAACTATGATGCGAAAATAAATTCATCGAGCCAGGGACAGTGACTTTTCCACCAATTCCAAGGCTCGGTAAGTTTTTTTTTATCGCAACGCCCCTTACTACAAATAAAAATGAAAAGAAAAACAAAAGAGCCTAACAATAACCAATAAATTCGGTTGTCTCGAGAACTGTTAACTGGGTCAAGTAACGATTCCCTCAACTCGTGACTTCAAGAATTTAGGGAAACTATTTCTTGGGAAATTCCTACGTCTCACTTACCCTCTCCTTATCAAATCGCACTTGATGCAAGAGAGAGATGTCACTTGACGTGCACGCGGACTGGACCTTTAAATTTTTTTCAAGGACCAATCGCAACAAACAGAAGTTGTGAAGAAGGCTCGAGAGACAACCGAAAGCCAGTTCAATCCATACATTCGAACAGTTCAAGTCACACATTCGAACAGTCCTATTCATACATTCGACAGTCAAAAATACCTTATTTTTAGAAGCAATTCAAATCTTATTCTTGACGAGCAAATAAAAATCTCTCAAACCCAACTTCGTTCAATCGTACAATCTTTACCTTTGAACCAGTTGCTATTCATTAACATTGAAAGCAGCGAACTATCGATAAAATTTTCAATACATAGATTTAAATTGGTACGCTATATAATTCTAGAAAGAAAGTATATTCTAAATAATATAGTTCAGAATTATTGAAATCAATGAGAAAAAAGACCAAAATTCTAAATAATTAAGACTGTAATCTCAAACATCTAAAAATCATTGAAATCGTACTTTTTTATAAATATCTTAGAAAATAAGGCTATGCAGCAGTAATATCGAGAATGGCCTTAAGAACATATTTCGAGATCATTGAAATTAGTAAGGAGGACCCGAAAACGAATAATTTCCAAACATATCATATGTATTCTCAAATTAAACATTTTTTTCACTGAAGTGTTTTATGATTATAATTTTATAATCATAAATTGAAAAATATAAATTATATATTACCTTACCATTTAAAAGTTTTAGGATAATTATAATATTTATTCCGTAATTGAAAATTACGCTAAAATTTAATACATGTAAATAGATTAGGCAATTTGTAAGGTATTTGTAAGATATTTAAACTATTATTTTATTATTACTATATTAGGTTAAATTAAAATAAGAAATTATGGAAAATGGAATCTTTGTAATTCTTCACGAAATGAATAAAAAAAGTAACTTCATGAAATCGTAATAAAATAATTTCGAAGAACTCACTTCGTCACCTATCGATTGAATTTTATGAAAATACGCGTTCATGATGAAATTTTCTTTTTTCCCAACAAAAGTCAATATAATTACAGAACTCCTTGAAGTAAACCGCAGTACGTAACACAGTTATTAAAATAACGTTATTCAAATTGTTCACAAATGGACGATTCAAAATCATATGGTAATAAATTGTGTATAACCTTCCAGAAAAATTTTGGCTTCAAATTATTTTTCATTTATAGAAAAATGCTTCAGTGTATATTTCAACTATGAAAAGTATAAGAGAAAAGTAAAAGAATCTAAAAAATGGCACGTCGTTGGAAACGTTCGGGATTTTCCAATCTGAAAGCAGTGATTGGAAACAAAAATACGGTGAGAATATGAACACATATGCGTGTGTGTACATAACGTCGTTAACGTTGCATTCATCGTTATGCAAATCGATCAAAAACTGATTGGACCAGATCGTCGATTCGTAAAACTTCGTTGAAATAATTATAAATTGTCGAAATTAAATCGAAATTAAATCGATTTCCAAACTTGCAAAATCCCAGAAAAGAGAATAGAAATAGAAATTCTAATTATTTTCCTCTAACTATTTTGGTTAAATTTAGACTTATTTTGGTAAAATTTTTTGACAAGAATAACCATGAGATTTCGATGTAGGCGAAAGATTAATGATCGTAGTGGACACTTAGTTAGTATTCTTTAGTTTTTGTCATTCTCATCAGATGATGTTGAAAGATAGATAATTTGATTAATAATTTCCAGCGAATTGGACAACTGGCGTGTACCGTATGTGACCATTATATCATGGGACATTCTATCTACGTGATCATACTTGGCCTCATTGGGACCGTTAGTCGATCGTAATACTCCTTAATTGTTTCTGCATAATAGAACACCAGAGTTTATGAATCTGTACCGTTCAAACGACGATGATAATTCGTAAACTTCTAAATTTGATTCATCAAATATTAAGTCTGACTTTATTTGAAACAAAAATTTTAGGCCAGTTAACAAATAAATATTTTGTATTTTTATAGATAAGAAAGAACATATTTGATATTATCTTCAATTTGTCGCTAATTTTTAAAAACTCATTTGTTTCAAGAATTATTATAACATTTTGAAATTAAGAAATTGTTGATTAATTTGAAATAATTAATATTTTATGTAATAAATAATTAATATTTTTGTTATTTTTATTTTTTAAAAGATTTTTTAAAGACTTATTTAAAAAATACTGTTAGATCATTTTTTAATAAACTTATTTTTTAAGTAGTTCCATGTATACCACATTTATTTATAATTTTTTATCGAAATATTCCTAAAGGATATATAAACTAACCATGAAAAAAATATCATTTCTATACAACATTATGAAATTAGTTTGCACAGTATTGTATATGAAAGAAAATCAATCTGACAAATACACTGTCATACTAAATAATTAATGATGTAGGTGATTACAGCATTTGATATAGTTCGAATAATAAACTGCAAGCTGCCCTCACAAACCAGAAACAATGAAACTGGTAAATCATTCACTTCTCTTATTAAGCTCAGAATAGATAATTTGATAACAATTAATCGTTCTATTATTAGTACCTATAGACGTGGAAAGGGATCTAAAGCTAATGACGTCGATTCTGGGAATAGAACATTACACTTTGATCATGCTGGGAGCAATTACAGTGAGTAATTCGAGGAAATCTCCCTTAAGTTCAACGTATTAAAATAAAACGATGTTTGTTTTCTAGGAATATCCGATGTTACACACACCATGGCTCTTAATGCAATTATGCGTGATTATCGTTGAGGTCACTGTATTCTGTGTAAAAGTATTCTTGGATGGGCTTCACATAAAACGCGACGAGATTTTATTATCTGTTCTGACCATACATAATTGGCTTCAAGTGTTTTGTTTGTTCCATAGACAAGCTCGGCAATCTCGTTGAATTTTTAGTTTTACAAAGAAATTAATGTCAAAGAAAATTCATGTAAATTAAGATCTTGTACACAATTAAAATCTTAAAAATCGTACACAGTATATATCTTATATCTTATATTTTACCATGTCTAATATATATTATATAATATATAATATATAATATGTAATATATATTTTATTATACGTAATATATAAAAAATAATTATACGTGTAATGTCTGAAATTGCAGCCTACTTATTGTGCTGTGCCACAATTTCGTTTGTTTGTTGACACATACGTATATATACATATATAATTTAAAAAAACACGTGGCTAGCAGTTCGTTGATAACCTCAAATCTTTATTATGTGAATAAATGAATAAATTAATAAAATAATAAAATCCAGTTACGATGCCATTAAAATTTGAAAAAGATGTTATTTACACATGCGCAAAGAGTAACAAAAGAAATGGAAAGAATCAAGAAGAATCAATGAAAAGGATCAAAAAGAATTTTTCAAAAGTATAAAAAATTAAAAATTTAACAAAACTATAATTAAATTAATATTAACGTTAATATTACATTACATAAATTTTATGATAGGTAAAAACGCTCTATATGGCACTGATGTGTTTCGTAATATACTGTTTAAGTTGTATTACTTTCGAAGCCGGAAGCCATTTTCCTCACGGAAATCCAATGACCAAATCTGTGGCATTTAATGCTCTTTTTCGACGAAATTATAGTAATAATGTTTAAATAAATATTATAGAATTCATAATTCTATCGTAAATCTTTCATATCTTTAAGTTGTCAATCTCTTGAATTTCGAAATATGTTTAAATATAAAATTGAATTTTCTAATTTAAAATTTGAAAATGGAAATCTTAAATTTAAAAAGTTGGAAATTTATATTGAAAAATTAAATTTCCTAAATAAAATAGAACTTTGTTCGCAGATTTGAAGATTATAATACTAGTAACGAATATAATCACAGGACTTGTAACTACTCTGATGATAATTATCGCTGACAGATATGATATTCCCTATCTATATTTACCATGGTTAGTGAATACCATGAAAGGAATTTCTCTGTGTGAAGGACCAGCGCTTTTAAACTTGACCAATGTACTTCTATCTAGCATTACTCTTCCCACTGCAACTTTTATACTTATAACTTTCTTTCTATATGGTATATGAACATATATATTCACTTTTTCTGATATACTTATCTTGTAATATCGATCAATCTACTTTTTTAGATTTTCTTAATAAATTTTAATATAAATGCATTTCAGTCGAACAACTTTACATTTGGAATAATGTATTCGTAAAATTCCAACACTGCTGGGAGAATTATCACAATGAAAAACATTCTGTCATAGAAAAAACGAAAGAGAAGTTATTTACTACGCGTAATAAAAAGTTAATGTGCCATAATAATGTTAAAAACGAACTAAATAAAACTGGTGTTAAAAAATTGAAATCTGATAAAAAACCGATCGAATTTTGTGACAATATTAACAAACAAATTTCTACTGAAATTCGTTTAAGGCCGATTAAAAATGCTATTAAAGATAATAATAATTTTATACAGGATCAATTATTGGACATAACTGGATAATTAATTTTTAAATAATGCTTATAATAATTTATAAGTAACATTAATTATTTCTAATTTGCATATACATCAATTTCAATTCTTTATTTCTTTATATTATACTATTTTATGTGTTATTTTTAGTAAATATTTCACAGTAATTTTGTAAAAATTTATCTGATAATAAAGTCAATCATACTTACTAATAAAAATCAAACTTAATAATGAAAAAAGACAATCATTAAAATCAAAAAATTTACAATTTCACCACACATCTTTGCACCTGAAAGACAACAAACATTTTATTTTACAGGAAACTTATTATATTATTGAAAATAGACATTGATAATCATAAAAAATTTAATTTGTTGAACATCTATTGAAAATTATAATTATTAAATTATAAATCAGTATTTTATATTAAAGTACCATAAATTGCACGCTTCTTAGTAATTATGTGATAAATAGGATTTTTATGTATTTGTAGGAAATTCCAAAATGAAAAAATAAACGAAATGCATATAGTATACAAAAGTATGTAAAATATTTAAAATATAGAACTTTTTCTAGTAGAAAAAATTTCTAGTAGAAATAATTTTCTACCTGTCTTTTTTTTTTTAATAAAAATCGTATGTTAAAAAAATATTTTCAAATATATTACAGTTTGCAATATGTTAGTCTTTGTACGAAATATTTCTTAATGTTTATATATTTTTGCACTAGTTATTATCTAAATCGAAGTATTATTACATATTGTATGCACTCACCAACTAGTATCTATTCTAGTAACTATACTAGTAACAAATTCAATTTCTGAAACAAAATTCTTTGAAAAATTACGGAACGACGCGAGATACTATTTAACGAAACTGCGCATTAATTTGAAAAGTTCTCATTGCGCATGTTAATTGAATCGATGTATATATATATATATGAGTGAATCGATGTATATATATATATTACTCATATATTTTTTTTAAATTTTTTAGAATATCAGACATCCCCGATTCTTAATATTAAATATCTACCATTTTTTAAAACAGTGAAAAAAAGTGTAAAAATTAATTCTTAAATTTTAATTTATATCATATATCGAATTAGATTTTTCTCCATAATATATTTCTTAGAATACATTAGAAATAGCTGAACTAACTAAGTAATATCTTTAATTATTCAACGTAAGAAGTATTCTATTTGTAATAAATAATTATATTATAAAAATATAGTTGAAGTACGTATATATATATTCTGTGAATTTACTAAAGTCGAAATATTACGTTAACTAAATCAACGGTTCCCGCCTAAATGTAGAAATGGCGGTAAAATGAATACACATGCGTAGATGGAAGTTCCGTTCACATTGGTGCAGATCAAATCATTGTGCTCATGTTGTGCTTGACGTTCGTACAAGTTGTACGCGTGCCGGTAATAAACCGTTGTGTGGCATAACGGTCGTTCCGTTAAATCTCTGCGTCTCTGTACATAAATTTACTTGCAACTGTTAAGTAAAGTTCGTGATATTCGGAATATTGCGTGCAACCCGGAAACAGCATAGTGAAAGCGTGTCCGTTGTTAAAAAAACATCAAACTTTCCAGTAATTTGAACGAAAAATAAAGGTACGTTTACTTTCTTTGTGCTCTACGTGCATTAATTGCATTTTTGTTTTTTTCTGTATACAGACGAATATTGAATAATCGCATTATTAGATGAGATATTTCACATGATCGTGGAAAATAAGCTGGTATTAAACAGTTTTATCGAACAATATCGTAACGCAATGCGTGATTTATTTTTATACGTATACATTCTTAGTACAATGAGCTCACACTTGTACTACTTTCGTTGTTCACCACGACATAAAATTATAATCTGTTGAATTTACGGATGTGTATATGTGCATAGGTTGTTGTGCATAGCATCCGTCGCGTTACATTTACTTGCAATATCTGATCACGTGTCCGTGTAGTTTATATATATGTAAATTGACGCTGCATATATGTGTTTGTTTCGACCATATTTTTGCAAACATCATTGAAACATGGTGAAACATAACCTTTCATGTCACAAAGTTATTTCACGTTTTAATATCGTAAAGGTTATAAATGATAAAACTAGAGAGACAAGGATATTCTTTATTTATACATAGCTTATTCTTTTATTGCGTTTATAATACATTAATTTCAATGTAACAAATAACAAGGGTCAGGTAAAAAATATGACAATCAAGAAAATATTATCAGAAAAATGCGTTTTGTTTAAATAAATACTCGGAGAATAGTTTTGCAAGCGTATTCGTTTTTTTTCTTTTTTAAATTATTTTATTTATTTAAACTGGCAAAACTTAGTCTCCGGGTATATAGAAGATGCTTTTGACTAAAGCATCCTTATTTTTTTTCTTAAATCTTAATGGACGAATTGCAATTCACAATCCTTTGTATGTTATACATTTTGTTGGCATAACTCCTACTTTTTTTTTTGTTGCTGTAACAAGTCGTAGCAAAAGCTAAATTCTTCTTGCAAACACGCATATCGTTGCTTTCATTGGCTCGAACGAGTTTATTGCTATACTATGCATATTACAAACATGTTTATCTTTCTAATTGTAAGGCGATTGAATTATACTATAGGCATCTATTAAGTATTACATTCGGTATTGAAATTTTTAAGCAAAGATCAACATATATTGTCTCAGCTTCTACAACACGCAAAAGTATTCTTGTTCCAAAACAATTCTTACATAAATTTAATTGTATCTATTGCAACTGTATAAAAAGAAGTATATCTAAAAAGACAGACTAGAGTAAGGTCTTTGTTTACTTGTACATTAATTGAACTAATCTGTCTGCAAATGAAAACCAAGGTAAACATATATTTTATTCTACTTATCGTTGAATATTATTTCTTCAGTCCAGAAAGCTTAATCTCCTCCTAGGCATTATTTCATTATTCATGCACCTGTAAATATTTTACTTTATAGTAAAGATCTATATGAAAAAGGGATTGTTGAATCATTTTGATAAGACAATAAATCTGTGCAAAACAAGCTTGAAACTCAAATATAGAAGAGATATTATTACATTATATTATATTATTTTGAAACTTGTATATCCCTCTTCAACATATAGTTCTTTACTCAACTTTGTTTTCTTTGTTTTCTTTGTCAAAGACTAGAAATTATTAGGTAAATTGTACAAAACGTTGGATTCAGAAGATTTGCCAAAAATTAGGCTCCTTTCATATCTTGCCATGCTTTAGACTGATTTAACGTAAGTTCCATAAAAACAAACACTATGCAACACACATTACCTGTTGATAAAACAAACTGCCTTCGAGGTGGTCATTTTCAATTCTGATATCGTTTTTGAAAAAGTATTCTTAAAATTTGCCTCAATGTCGTGTACCCTGCTTTTCCCCCTTATCGTCAAACTTTCATCCATGTGTTAAAACTTCCTTACTTTACAGCGAATGACAACTTGATACATATTGATTGCTCCGCATGATGAAAATTCTGAAGCTTGCAAAATAGTTCTTGGTATTAAGCTGCCTGTCAAACTGTCTTGCTTTGCAATCGGTGCAAACCAAAAACTATACAATTGACTCCTGTAACCTGTTTCCCATTATGTCGAACGCAATCATCCTCGGCGCTTCAAGAGGCGACGACATCGAAACGCTCTTATTATAACTTTTGGAAACGACCTTAGACCTCGAAGGCCTCCCACTGCTACGCTATCATAGTGGCAATAGGGCTGAAACGCATTATTTTGCTGAGCAAGATCCACGCAACTGAGGCTAGAGCGCAAAGTGTAACGCCACCCCATCCAAAGTCCATGCTCCAGGAGCTGGTAAATCGTCTGGCCTTGAGAACATTACGGGGAACCGGCCCACCAATTACACCATCCTCAGGGCCGTCTAATATTCGAGCTCCGCGATCCTGAGCTCTCTTGAAATGAATTATCGTCAGGGTGAACAATGCGAACGTGGCTAAAATAGTTGTTTCATATTAGAAGAATATTAACATAATAAAATATTTGTAGTATTTTGATGATTTGAAGAAATTTTAAATAGGTTGAAAATTAAATAAATTTTTATTATTTTTAAACTGCGGATGAGACCAACTATGATTTGTTGAAAAAGAAACAAAAGATTTAATTGGAGCGAAGGACCATTTTAAAAAAAAGTGAATCCACAAGTGTTTGGAGACGTCTCTTATCAGAGATGAGAAGTCTTTGTCTTTTATCGTACTCGGAGACCACTAACTACAAGAGGGAAGCTCTTTCGTTGAATAAGAAAGACCTGTATTATTCACAAAGTTACAATTAAAATGAAATTTTATGAATGAAATTGAATGTTTGTGAATATTGCTTTATAGTTTCAGTCCTCGTAACTGTTACTCTTATTTTATCAAAAAATGAAGAGCTTCTCTCTTAGAACAGCTCTTATTTTGTGGTCGAGTTCTCGAGTGTGCAGAAATCATTGCGGTTCCCTGCAACCGCAATGCTCTACGTCAATAAAATTTATTCGGCGATGAACAGGATATCGTCGCTTTAAAAACTTTACAACAACAAGTACAAATTTACCTGCTAAAAGATACATAACACCAGTGACGAGGACTGCTGATATTTGATGTCTGCAGAGTCCAAAAAATCCAATGAGAACCGCAGTGCCCAGGATGATTAAACAAACTAGAGAACAAGAGATACTCAAGTTCTGCATCCCTATGGAAAAACATAAATTATTTTATTCAATTTAATTAGGCAATATCTACTTAAAAAACATGAATTTCTATTGCTTAAAAAATACTAAGATTATTTGATTTGATTTAACAAAATAATTATTTTGTACACAGTATCGTAAATAATATTTAATAGATATTGAAATTTTTAAAGAAAATGAAGAATCCTAGATGAAATCGATTGAAAAATTGTAATATTTCAACGTGCAAAATGCTCAAGAGATACATCGTCGTAAATAAAAATCAATTTAACCATACAATAATCACAGCATGACAATCAGGAAAATA